GCAGGCTACAGTCCATGGGGGTGCAAAATGTCAAACATGACTGAGCAACTAACACTTTCACTTTTTTTCAATTTTAACCTACATTAATATATTCATTTCAACTTGTGGCTATTCAGAATAACTATGAACCAGCAGAGGCTAGTCATATTCATGGTCATTTAAAACTGTCCTATAACAGAAGATCTGCAAATACCTCCTGCCTCACATTATTCTAAAAAGACATGAGATTTATGAGGTTTGATGTTTTGATCATGATGAAGGGTTTTTTTTTTTGCCTGCATTACCTGACATCAAAAGCTCTTGGGTCAAAATATATAGCTTCATTGATTTATTAAACTGGATATAGAAACATGTTTTCATAGTACATATCAGTGTCAAATCTATTTTAGCCAATGATTGTTAACTTCAACAGCAAGCTCAAGAAACTTGTAAATGAGTTAGAGCTCATTATAAAACAGTTAGTCAAAGTCTTTGAAAATAAGAAAATATATGAATATTGTATTGCTACATTTCATAAATAGTTATTTGCCTAGCATATATCATCATGTTCATATCACTCCAATCACCACCAAGATCATGTTAGAAAGTCAGGCTATTAACATGTGATGATTAGTCATAAACAATAGGCCACAGATGTCAATTACTTTGTGATTACACATAACGTAAACCTCATAATGTATGTGGTAATCAGTTAGAAAACAGAACATAACTTTTCAGTTCAGTTCAGTCGCTCAGTTGTGTCCGACTCTTTGCAGTTCCTTGGACTGCAGCACGCCAGGCCTCCCTGTCTATCACCAACTCCCAGAGTTCACCCAAATTCATATCCATTGAGTCAGTGATGCCATCCAACCATCTCATCAAATGTCATCCCCTTCTCCTCCTACTCTCAATCTTTCCCAGCATCAGGATCTTTTTAAATGAGTCAGCTCTTTGCATTAGGTGGCCAAAGTATTGGAGTTTCAGCTTCAACATCACATAGCTTTTAATACTACAATATAATATATTCTATAAAAGATATGAAACAATATATTTTATTCCAATGAAAAGGTGACTTTTGAATTCCTGAATTACTAGGCAAAATCAGCCAGCCATGTGGAGATGGGAACAGAAAGTTCCAGGCAGAAGGAGGGACAGGAAAAGTCCTAAAGAGGGAATGAGCATGGTATATTCTAGGAACCAAAGGAGTCTTTCAGAGTCGTAATGGGGAAGAAGGGCTATAGTGAATCTGGTTAAGGTTAAGAGGTGAGGTGGGCAGGGACCAGTTTACGTGGTGATTTTTGGTCCATGGACAAGAAGTTGGGTTTCAGACTAAACAAAGTAGGAAACCCTTGAAGGGCTTTAGGGAAGAAAGAAATATTATCTGATTTGTTTTTAAAAGGTTTCTTCTTGGATGTTGAAGGGATTACTTCAACATTACTTCTACTACTTCAACAAGAATAGCAGCAGGGAGACTGTTTAAAAATAATGAATGCATTGAACTTGGGCTGGTCATCTATTTCACATATGGTAATATACATGTTTCAATGCTATTGTCTCAAATCATCCCACCCTCGCCTTCTCCCACAGAGTCCAAAAGTCTGTTCTTTATATCTGTGTCTCTTTTGCTATCTTGCATATAGGGTTGTTGTTACCATTTTCTAAATTTCATATATATGCTTTAATATACTGTACTGATGTTTTTCTTTCTGACTTACGTCACTCTGTATAATAGGCTCGTTTCATCCACCTTATTAGAGCTGATTCAAATGTGTTCTTTTTAATAGCTGAGTAATATTTCACTGTGTATATGTACCACAGCTTCCTTATGCATTTGTCTGCCAATGGATATCTAGGTTGCTTCCATGTCCTAGCTATTATAAACAGTGCTGTGATGAACACTGGGGTACACGTGTATCTTTCAATTCTGGTTTCACAGGGCACTCAAAGCTGGTACACTGGGACAACCCAGAGGGGTGGGATGGGGAGGGAGTGGGAGGGGGTTCAGGATGGGGGACACATGTACACTTGTGGCTGATTCATGTCAGTAGATGGCAAAAACCACCACAATATTGTAATTAGTCTCCAATTAAAATAAATTAATTTTTTAAAAATGAATGCATTAGTCTAGACAAGAAATTGTGTTGGCTTGTACTATGGATGGAGCTGAAAGATGGAGAGAAGTAGAGGCATTTCAAATGTCTCATCAAGGTAGAGCTAAGAGGATCTGAAGTTATGGATGAAGTGGAGTATGGGGGAAAAAGATGCTTTAAGGATAGATACTAATTTGGGAGCTTAAGTGAATTTAGTGGATGGTTGTACTGTTAAATATGTATTAAAAACATATACTGAGCATCTACTGTGTGGAGGATACTTTTTTGGACAAGGTACATTTTTCTAACTTCTAACAGACTGTGGATGCAAATTATGTAAAATTGTCATCAATATTTCTATTTTATTTCAAGCAAATATTCTAAATAAGCATGTTTTCCTGCCTCGTTATCTTGCTATTGTAACACAGATTAGGGGTCAGCAGACTTTTCCTGAAAAGATTGAGGGAGTAAACATTTTAAGCTTTGCAGTTTCTGTGAACCTTGTTGCAACTACTCCACCCTGATTATGTAGTGTCAAAACAACCAGGGACAACACATTAAGGAAAGAGCATGACTGGGTTTCAGTAAAATTTTATTTATGGAATAAGTAGTGGGTAACATTTGGTCTCTGTAGTTTGCTAATCCCTGACATAGATAGCAGATCCCCAAACAAGACAACCTATAGTGAAAAGGAAAATCATATTGTGAATAAAGACGCCAAGTATGTATTTATTGATTTATAGTTGTCATTTACTTAATTTCTTTCTTTCAGCATTATTTTTAACAGTCCTTCTTCTGGTTTCTTCAGGGTCCCTAACTACATTTAATCTTAAGCTATAAATCATGCCAGTTTGTTCTCTACCACAATGGTAGGACATTACCCATGTTGGCCAAACTGAATCGTCCCTTCCCCATGGTCACAATGATTGGGTTGGAGGCAGGTACACATTCAAGCAAGGCCAATTAGAATCTGCCCTGGACTTCATATGTAATTAGTTCAGTTCAGGTCAGTCACTCAGTCATATCCAACTCTTGTGGCTCCATGAATTGCAGCAAGCCAGGCCTCCCTGTCCATCACCAACTCCCGGAGTTTAGCCAAACTCATGTCCATCGAGTTGGTGATGCCATCCAGCCATCTCATCCTTTGTCATCCCCTTCTCCTACTGCCCCCAATCCCTCCCAGCATCAGGGTCTTTTCCAATGAGTCAACTCTTCGCATGAAGTGGCCAAAGTATTGGAGTTTCAACTTCAGCTTCAGCTGAAGTTTCAACTGAAACTTCAGTCCTTCCAATGAACACCCAGGACTGATCTCCTTCAGGATGAACTGGTTGGATCTCCTTGCAGTCCAAGGGACTCTCAAGAGTCTTCTCCAACACCACAGTTCAAAAGTATCAATTCTT